AACAAGCACCGATCACCATCAACAGGGGAAATCTAATGAAAGTTGCCTCTTTCACCTACCCACCTAGGCAGCATCGTTTCAATTACAGGTGGCGGCAGCGCAGATAACGATGTCAAAGCAAGCATCGGAAAGAAGGCACGACAGGCATTCCTTAGTTAATCTGAAATCAGTGTGGAGATCTAATGCACTACACTGCATTCAACATAAAGAACAAGATACTGATTTTCAACACTAATGTCAGTCAAGCCAGTGCTTCTACATGGTTCAGAAACTTGGCGCGTTACGAAAAGCATTTCCAACAAACTACAAATATTCATCAACAGCTGCCGCCTACACTCACTCCATACTGCAGATCAGATCAGATGGCCAGAAGGAATAAGCAAGGGGAACTCTGTCTGACAACGAACCAACGAAGCAAGAACCCATTTCCCAACAAATATGCAGAAGAAGAAATTGGAGATGGACTGGATTGGACACAGACTTAGAGGACCGTTTGGGGTGATCACGCATCAGGCCAGGTCCCCGGGTAGAATCCAAAGGGGAAACAACTAGTTATGCGTCCCAGGGTGACATAGAGATGGTGTGAGGAAGAATATAAAGCTTGCGGGCAGTCATGGAGCCAGGTTGAAAAGACTGCAGAGAAGAGAGTGAATGGCGACATGCTACTGAAGCCCTATGTTCACACTGGGAATCTAATTGACAAATAATAATAATTCATCAGTGATTGGTTCTTCGATTTTAGTGACAGCTAACACGACTGACAGTATTTCTATTGCCTACTATGCTTGACAAACCGGTTTTCATCTATCGAACCCTTACACTAGAAGAAAATTGTATGAATTTGTGATTTTACAGCTTTGAAAATGAAATCATTGGAAGGACTCTTTGTTGAAATACTTATTTGCTCTTGTTTTAAATTATAGATAGGCCAAGGTTAAATCTACCCACATTGTAAGTCATGTGTACAGCCAAGACTATAGTATTTCAAGCGAATCATATGATGAAAAATATGACAAACTAAACAAATGATACTTAAACAGGTATCATATTATAAAAAGTTCAAATGTTTTTTTAAAAAAACTAGAAAATGAAAAGCTTTTGTCACACTTAGATCGGATACTTAGATCATGGGATCATTTCAGATTTGACTCATTCTTGTATTAAATCTTCATCATTAAGTAACTAATTTCATGTTGTCTAGCTCTAATTGGTTATCCTTATCATCATTTTGTGCAATGTCATCACTAGACTAGGAGATTTACCAGGGTTATACATTTTGATAGATGTTAAATAGCTGGTGATTAACAATCTAGATGTGTGAGTGGAATGAACTTAACTCTAAATGAGTGAAACAATCACCTAATGATGAGGTTAGTGTTATCTGGCTGGTGAAATGTATAGATCAGGTTTTGGGGTTTCTAACTAACCGCCTGAATATTTCCCTTCCATCAACTTGACTAATTGCTCTTATCGAAAGATAAATTAGTGCATGAGATATATCTTGCTTTCTGGATCCAACAATAATTATGATTTATTCGATATTAAAGAAGTTCCAGCAGTTACACACGACATGAAATGTCATGATTTAGATAATTTTTAGTACAATCACCAGAAAACGTCACCTAGTTTACTAGCCGGTTCTAAGCACGGATAAAGAGGGAAGGTTGAGCATAGGGCTAGCAACCCTACCTCGTAAAACCAATCAAACAGCTAAAGAAACTCCAAAGCACAAACAAAATATAAAAAATAAAAATAAACTTATTCCTCTCTGGAATCGGGGAGACGAAATGACGTCGATTGGTGAAAGTCTTCGAGAAGCCAATTGGCCGATATGTCTTCTCCTATCTCAATGAAAGTAATAGTAAGCATGGAGACATGGAAGGTCCACACAATGTTTGAAGCTGACTAACAAGGCTTCCCAGATCGCAAAGGAGGTGAGAAGATATAGCATAGGAATCTGCGAGAGCAGATAGAATGGACATATGAAGAGGAAATAAAGGCTTCTGGGCAGTCATGGATCCAGGTTGAAAAGACTGCAGAGAAGAGAGTGGAATGGCAACATGCTACTGAAGCCCTATATTCCACTAGGAACCCAAAGAACAAGTAATAAAAAATAATCACTAGACTAGGAAACTCAGAACCACGTGCCTTAAGATTGAAACAAGAAGCCCACAAAACTGAAGATTGGTAAGAAGCAGTAACCGTAGGCATGACCAGTCAAAGTGCCTAACCTAGTCTTACGGGAGGTCAATCACAATTCAAGCATCTCAGTAATAATGTGCTAATCTGTAGCGTTTAGTGTCACGGGTTCAAACCTCAGGATAGACATCACTCCTTTCATGGTTGCAGATACGCATTGCTGACGAATGTCAGCTAGTAAGAAACAAGGTTTCCTGTCAATCTGCTGGCACTCAGATGTCTTAAGTTTTGGATTCAAAGGTGACCAGTCATACTGAAGTCTAATATTTTCAACAGTTTCAATGGTGCACAAAAGTTTTCTGAGCCTAGAACCAACATAACCAGAAATGTTTTGGGATTTATTGAAGAGATACAGCTGAGCTGTTGGGATAACTTCGATGTCTTCTGACTGCTAAGTATCTGGCAATCAAAGTTAGTCTTTCGATGATGCTGTTTTCTCTGAGCTGGATGGTTTATAATCACGAAGTTCTCATCATTGTCATTATAGACAACATTATCAGCACAAACTTCAGAAAGAAGAGAGCTGTAAAATGGTTTACCTTGCAAGTGGCTTAGTAGCTTTTCCTGATAGCTTCGTATGTGATTGGTTGGCCTGCTGATGTGAACTCAGGCCTAATTTTTGCATCACAATGGTTGATTAACGACTGACATGAATCCCAAGCTTCTAAAAATTCTCTGCCATTCTTGATTTCTCCTCTATCCATCCACAATTTCCACATTTTTCCACGTCAAATTCATGTCCACATTAACATAAGTAAACATATATCATGACACTTGCTTCATTGTTGGTTGATGTTCATGTAGACGGATACGAAGTAGGCGGACGACCACACCGTCCGATGTAGAGTATTTCTAAGTTTCTGAAGTTTTTTTTGTAGATAATGTTTGGTTTATCTTCCATTGCTATAGTATACTTTGACCTCCATAACAGACAGTGAAGGGATTTTGTGGACTTGTGGGATACAGCAATTCTCAAAGGCTTTAATAATCTAGTCGTGATCTTGGAGACGTAGTCTATTTAGGGTGGGTTGACTTTTGGTTAGTGATGAATTAGGCAAACATCCATTGATGAAGTTGTGAGGGAAACAGTCATCAAATAGTTATCTTCTTTTTTTCTCAGGGTTGATGTACTACAGTTTGTCTTCAGTCTTTTGAAAAATGTTTTCATGCAACTGATTTTGTTTACTGTTTTATTATCGCTAATTCAGTTGGGGATTGTAACAGCAAAGGAAGACAAACCAAACATTATCTGGAAAATAAACTGCATAAAGTGAGAAAAACACCATATTGCATAGAGTGGTCACGCGCCCTCTTTGTATCCGTGTACATGAATATCAACAAACAGTGAAGCATCGTGACAAATCTTCGCTCATATCAATGCATATTGACAACTATGGATGGGAAGTTGGTAGGGAAATTGTGAAAATCCTGGATAGCAGAAATACAAAGGATGCCAGAGGATTTTAGAAGCTTGGTATTCATGTCAGTCAGCAATTAACAGACACATTGACATTGATTCGATTTATCAACCAATAGGAAAGGACATGAAGTCCAATATCTTTTTACGAGCTAGTATATACCAACTGATTTCTTCGTGGTCGCTTCTAGGTCTTGCGAAACGGTTCCAGGTACTTGATGGATTTCGATGCCTACTCGACTGCTGTAGCTCTGGTTAGCCCAACGGGTGGTTGGGTGTTGGTTAAATTTGTAGAATATTGTCGTTTGTTTGTTTGTTTCTTCCACGGACTGCGGTGCAAATGGGTTCCTCAAGTGTCGTCCCGCAGACAGTTGGTCGAACTGGTTGTAAAAAGGAGATGGAAAATATGTCCACGGATATCAAGGGAGAGAAAGTGAAAAGAAAAACAAATAGAAAAGAGAAATGAAAGAATAAAGGGGAAGAAGATTAGGAAAAAAGGAACGTCAAGTCAGTAGGAAGAGGAGTAAATAACATTCTAGGATGGATGGGAATAGGGAAGTATAAGGTTGAGCAAGGTTCCCAGTGATAGTGGTATTACAAAGTGTTCAGTAAGGGTTGGCCGTAGCGAGTTAGTAGGTTGTGTCAGCCTAGTCCACATCCCAGTTGGATGAGCGCGTCGCTGAGTAACTGTCCAACTTCTTCTTGAAGCTGGAAACAGACGGAGCAGTAGCGATTTCAGCAGGCAATGCGTTTCAGTGTCCGCAAACTCGCAGAGAGAAGAAGTGTGATCGCACACGGGTTTTCGCCCTTTGATGGTCGATTCTCCTTGGGTTATCACGGGGATCGCCATAGTGGTTGTTCGGTAGGATTCCACTGTTCGGATGACTTGGGTCACTTAGTATTTTGTAAGCCGTTATCAATTCACCACGTAATCTACGGTAGCTTAGAGAGTAGAGCCCTAGATCTTTCAGCCTGTCCTCATAATATTTTTACCTCATTCCCATGATACCCTACGTAGCTCATCTTTGGACTTTCTTTAGGAGGTTAACGTCTCTTTTCAGGTATGGTGGTGCAGTGACGTTGTGGACCTCTAGGTGGGGTCGTATATAGGTCTTGTACAGCTTCAAATTTACTCATCATCAGGACAACCAATCAAAATAAATATGGAGAGAATGCCAAGACCTTGCCAAAGACAACTAGTCACACACAAGACTCATCACTAGTGTTCTCAGGCTTCCAGTGGTTCTTCAGCTGACTCTAGTCCATGATGAATGGCAACTTGAATGATGAATATCGATGATAATTAATAATTCAACAAAAATAGTTAACAAAAGGGCATACTGAACATTGAACAGAGAAAAAAAGTAACACAAGGTTAACTCACTCAGCTTCCACTATAATTTGTGAACGGAAAGAAAAAATAAAACAAGAAATAAAGTTTAGGGTAATGTTTGTTATTGAAAAAAGAATTGTTTAAACTGATTAAAATTTTGGCGGTAATTTAAATTGGTTCAATCTAAGAGGATAATGGCTATATATTACTGTATAGTGCTCATGGGTGACTTATTTCCAGAAGGATATCCTGAAGTTCTAATGCAAAGTGGCTGAGTGGTTAACGCATTTGCCGTGAAGCCTGAAAGACCCTGGGTTTGATCCTTTGCGGTGTGGTCTTGTAAGTGTACACCACTGAGGAGACGCATGCTTAGATGAAACGGCTGTCCAGTGCTCAAAGATCCTCTAACTGTACATAAAAGTTTCCTTACTTCACATTGCTGTGAAAACTTGTGCACAGTGAAATCTATACACGATAAGTTTGTGATTAAGGTAGCCTTTATGTAGATATGAGGTGATTATTTAACATTTTAGCGAGTAATCCTATGTGTAACATGGATAAATGGTAATAATCTATCAGTGCTACTGATGCAACTGTCTAACCATCACATTTAAGTTGGAAGATAATATGAATTAACAGGTAGTCGACCAGTTTCGCTCTCAAAATATTATCGGCATCTGTTGGAATAGCTGGGTAGGAAATTTCTATAAAAGGAGGCAGAGTAGGCTGATAAAACTGTGAACCATCATTTACTTAGATAGTTCATACATGAGTTGGAAATATGAAGCCATTAGTTATATGGATAAAGTTGATATTGGATAGAATATGCCATTAGAGTAGCACATTCGAAAACATGACACCAATAGGCAGAAGATCTATCAGACAATTGAGATGAGTAGTTGGAGGCTAAATAAAAATTGTAATTTCTCGGCGGTTTACTTTATCGCAGCAAACTAATAAGTCTCTTATGACACAGCAGTAATGGCTACTGGTTTGAATTTTCAGTGGGAATACCTAAAGTAACATGAATATGGATATAGTGAGCTGACAACTACCAAACAGTATAAAACATCAGTAATCTTCAAACGAATGATAATAGTTAACGATGAATTTTCAAATGATTTACACTCCATCTCGACACTTCTCAAAACTGAGTAGTTTTTCAACTGACATCCAACTGTGGCTTTCGACACGATTTCCGTTGATAACTACTTGACAGTCAGCCAAGATCATAAGAAGCTGCCACTGATTAACTTGAGTAGTTAGAGACCATAAGTAATATTTTGCCAGGCAGATCAGATTTATCTTAACACTGGACGGCCGTTTCAATCAGTTGGGGCCAAGTCAGCTCAGCAGTTATGCATCCGGACAAATCCAGTGCGTATACCTGACTTGTATGAACCGATATACCTTGATTTATAGGTCATACAATCCAGGCTGAAATCACTCACATGGAAGTCAGCCAGCCAGACTGACGTCTTCCAAATACACTGCCGAGGAGTTCGACCAAGTATAGGCGAAATAGCTGTTTGGTGTTAGGATCATTTTAAGCCGGCTACCTAGGAAATCTACAGGTAAGCAGTAGTGGTTTCCAACTACTCAGGTTGTTCAGTAGAATATCCCAACAGTTGACAAGTTTAAATGGTATATGACTGAAAACCAATTTGCTTGGCATAAAATGGAGCGATATTTAGGGGAAATCTGCATCTTAGATACCTCGTTTCTCTTTTAGTCCCACATTATTTCTTATTAATTGTTCTGGTGGTAATTTTAGTGGTTTGGAAGAATGTAAAACAGTGGTGAATGTTATATTTCTCTGTTTATGAAAAAAGGAAACCATGAATAGTTATCTTTCATTGATACTTATAATTTCCACAAGGCTCGCTTTTCGTCCTGTTTCAGAATCATCAGCTGAGTGCACCCACACTGAGACAGGGAAATAGTACTCACTGCCTCAAAAGCAAAATAGGTCACAACTTAACGAATATTTTAGCAGTGTAGAGGCATTCATATCGGAGTGCATATGCCAACAGGAGTTGAGGAGTTCGACCCAGTACAAGAAAGCAAAATTAAAAGTATTGAAGTGATTCTCATACCTAGTAAATGACAAACGCTGTGGCATTTAAGGCGATGGGTAGTTGATTGGAGTATCAGAAGGGGTAGGTACTTCAAACGGATGAGCCCCATGCAGGATGAAATGTGCGTCCTGGATTCTACTGCTAAACACCAAATAGACTATAAAAGACCATTAATAGCTTTACTTTTAAGTAACGTTTTCTTGAGGTGAATAAAAATATGACCTCATAGTGATTGGCTGCATGTCGTCCCTGACACTAACCTTGACTAAGTACTCATTGCTTGAAGGTCAGATAATAGCTTTGACGATATTTTTGTATGTTGGTGACTTCCTAATCTTTTTTTATTAGAAAACGTCAGCGAGCATATTATTAGATTTCACATACACAACCAAATGTGTTAGCCTATCTCTTAATTTAACCTTGGGATAATCACCAGATTGTTATTCTGCGCTACATCAGTAATTTCACCATTCGGTTTAGCGCATAGTTAATTAGGGCATCAAATCACTAAACCTTCAGATTTGACTGATCAGTTAACCAGTTTGAAACACTCAAGGTCACGTTGGTGATTTAGTAGTGGTAGATACTTTAGGTAGTAACTTCCCTACGAACTAGCTTCAATGGATTCACTGAAAACTGAAGAAGTACAAAAGTGATCTTCACGAATTTGTTGCTTAGTACATCCGCTTCTACCATCTTGACAAAGCTCAGCAGAAGTATAGAATCCAACCCGCCTTGAGTGAGTAGTGAAGGACCTTGAATCAACCAGTCAAACTGCTAGATGATGATAATTCCAACTGAATCGAAGCGAATTATTTCCTATTTGATTGCCTCGCACTATTTTTTGAATTATGAGGGACGTTTCATGTGGCTGTGTGAATTTTTATTTTAGGCAGAAGAGAACAGGCGAAACACTTGACATATTCTTAAACATCTGCAGTAAATTTCATTCCAACACTTTATCAATCAGACAAAATCGACTGTTTTTTTAAACGATACTTTCAAGGTCATTTAGTAGATGCTCAAGGCCAGCAAGATTATATATATCTTCTTTGCTCAAAAGCTCCCGACCATTCTGGATAACATCCATGAGCAATACTTCCTCCTAACGAAAAAGTAATTGCTTATGGCTGATGAGTGGAGATGAAATGAAAGTCTGTGTCACTGAAGAATTCAAACCAGTGGCTTCCAGGTTACTAACACGATGCACTAGTAACTGAACTACAAGTTCCAGCTAATCGGAAATACTATATATCACAGAAGAGAATAATTTCCTAACTAGATTACCGAAACCTTACAGTAAATGACTATTCTTCATTTTAGTTGTGTCCATTATGAATAGTATTCAGTTGGAGAGATATTGAAATTTTGGCAGGACTGGACACGTGTTTTACTCGCGTATAAGTCTCGTCAGCAGTGCACGATCGTGAATCTGCCACAGATCGAATACAGAAACTTGAGACCTCGTGGCGAGCCACTAAATCTAAGTTCGAGGTAGATTTTGTATAGGACTGATGTTGTTGGGTTTTCAGTAGTTCCAATCAGAAGCAATGACCTGTGGGGTCAACCAGTTGGAGTCGAAGCGCATACCAACTGAGTGCCTTGGGTGACGGTCGCGTTATATCTCGAATTGACAGAAGAAAAGGAGCTGTAGACCGCTGAACTCTGACTGAGTAGCGCGTTCGCTTTGAAACCTGAAGGCCATTAGTTCGATTCCTGCAAGGGCGGAGTCATGGGTGCTTACCGCCAAGCAGGATCACAGTAGGACGTAACAGCTGTCCTGTGTTCCCAGTTTTCCAATAGTTCCCCAAATGACGTTATTCCGTAAAGAATACCAACTTGAAATGCGAAAATAAATTTAAAACTACCAGGAAAGTGTATTTCAGCGGTACCTCATGAATTCAATGTTCAATTTGAAGTTGTACTTTGAAACAAACAGCTTCAATATTTTATCAAAGTGGAAAAAATTTCTGGATCACTCGATATTTCTTGTGCAAAAATGAATTCAAGCTGTACAAAGTATATCACTAACTGATATGAGTAAGTCTTGACCACCCATACATCAATCGTGAATGTATGCTAGCCTAACTATGACACTGAAAGATCATTTCACTCGTTTAAGGCCCAGCTGTTTAGCAATCTATTTGAACTTATTCATCACAGACAGCCGTACGGTCCAAATCATCTGAATTCCGACTAACTACCTCAGCTGACTGCTGCTATGTAGAAGTGTTTGCAAAATATGCAACCTTTGGGGAGAAATCTGATTATGGTTTCCAATGGAGATCAAAATATTCAGATCACATAATTTGATCTGTTCGACACCGTGGGTGAGATCTTAGACAGCAACGATTAGCCAAATCAAAGTCTTTGTCTGTGAGAAAGTTAACTTTAACCTCGTCTAACCTACAGTTCTAGTTCGTAGCTCAGTTAGTAGAGCATCGGGCCAAAAACCTAATGATCGGCTGGCCGAATCTGCTTACGGTCCAAATTCTCATTTCACCTTCAATCATCACCCTGTATAAACACTAGCCTGCTAAACTACGCTTACCTTAGATAGCAAAATGATAGTCAATATGATGCCCACCACTACTCTCTTTCTAATCCACTTAAATTTGGATTGGGATTAGAAGCCCTGACTCTTGGCAACCACTGTGAGGTGGTAGTAACACATCATGAATTCACAATTCGTCCGGGGAAACCCATGCTGGTTGAAACGAAATAAACGTCTGGTCAGCAGTTGAACCTTGTAGCTCAGTTGGTAGAGCATAAGGCCGAAAACCCAGTGGTCGCCGGCCCGAATCCGTCCGTGGTCCAAATTGCCTTTTCACCTTCAATCACTACCCAGTATAAATTCTATAAGTGACAAGAAAGTAAATTAAGATGATTCTGATCACAGATACACTAGACATTCTGTATTTTAAGTTTCACTGAATACAAAGACTCAAATGAAATGTTTCTGTGTAGTTTGTTAATGTTTTCTACAGAAGGAGACCATCTAAGAACTGTCATACAACGTAAACTTTGTCACAAAGTTCAAGGATTACCTGTCTATGTATCTGCTCCGTATACGCCTCTTGCGTGGATACACTCATATCGGTATTGCACCTGACTTGATTATTTTCGATGGTGGATATCAGGATTTAATTTAGAAATTGTCCTTCGTTCTACATTAAACTCATCATTCGAATATGTCTCCATTCTTTTGCCGTTTGATGATTAGTTGAAAACAAAACTCTATTTCAAGCCGCATTGAACAACAGTAGAGTGAAGATAAATGAAAAACCACTTGCTTTGTTAACAATATAATGAAAAAATCATTTTGGATTTCATTACCAATGTCACCCTATAAAAACAAACAGTCTAAACAAGGTACGAAATGTTATTAATGATAGATCATCGCTAGCAGTGGAATTCAAGATGCGCATTTCGTCCTATTTGGGACTCATTGGTCACCTGGATGTACCTGCTTCCCGGTGAGTGGTGTTGTGACGATGTTTACTGGGAAGCAGGTACATCCAGCCGACGAGTCCCAAATAGGACGAAATGTGCATTCTGGATTCCACTGCTAGCCGTGATCCATCATTAATATAATTAGAACGCAGGCAATATCGAGGCATCCGCACACGAGCCCATATGCCAATAGAGACCGATCAATTCGGTCCAATCAACGACGATATCGTATAAAAACAATTATACTTAAGTACGAAATGTTGCCTATTAGTTGAACTACTAATTACCTCACAAAGAACAGATTTTTCCATTTTAATGATCAGTTTCTTTTAACTAGTCTTTATTGAATCGATTTATTTATCGTAATTTTTCTTTAATGAAAAACAAACACTTTTATATCAGTTGCCTGGTGCGTAATAAAACTATCATAGATTCACCAGTATTGTTCTCAGAAGAGACGAATCATTTAGTTGCTTGGAGGTGACTGAAAGAAAGTCCTACTTGAACCAAGTTTCACGCTTGTTGGCACCCTTTAACAAGGTGTATTTGCAATCATGAGGGGACTGATATATTCTGTGAGTCCCCAACTAGCTCAGTTGTGCGGTTCGCAATCGTGTCACTGAGCTGTTTAAGCTGTTAATCGTTTTCAGATGTCTGAAGATGGTTCTTAATGAGGTTGACCGTGTAACAATCTAGTCTGGATTTAATTCGAAGTGGGAATAACATCATGCACTGGAAGGTAGGCAGGTATGTCTAGCCAACGAATCCCAAATAATACGAACTGCGTGTCCTGGACTTCACTGCTATTCACTATCGATTATTACTAGCTCTTTAAAAATGCTTACGTTAGACTGTGGAACAAAAAATTCATAATGGCCACATAGTTGCTTACAGTTCGTTTTTGAATGTGCGAGAAGTGGACAATTTTTGAAAGCTTCAAATAAGAGGTTTTAAATTATACACAACGTTGTCGTTTGAACAGGTAATTCTAAGAAGGTGTGGAAAAGATAGTCTGTTCATTTCGTTGCATACTGAAGTATCTACCTTATATATATATATATATATATATATATATATATATATATATATATATATATATATATATATCACCACTGTGAACTATTATTTATAAAACAGTCAGTTCATTTCATTCTGTATTTTGGAGTCAGATACCGAGAGTTAATTGATAGGAAGTTTCGGCTCTCACCAACACAGTTTACCTTAAAAAATAAATAGACTAGTACTACTTGTGTGATAACCTCACCTGGTTAACTAGTTAACTAGTTACTAGCCGGTCCTAATCCCGGATAAACAGGGAAGGTTGGGCATAGGGCTAGCAACCCTACCCCGCAAAACAAATCTAACCGCTAAAGTAACTTCACAGCACAAACAAAATATAAAAAATAAAAACAAAACTATCCCTCGCTGGAATCGGAGAGGTGAAATGACGCCAGTTGGTGAAAGCCTGCCTTCGGGAAGCCAATTGGCCTATGTGTCTTCTCTTGATGAAAGTAAAAGTAAACATAGGGATATGGAATGTCCGCACGATTTTTGAACCCAGCAAGGCAGCCCAGATTTCAAACGAGATGAGAAGGTATCACACTGAAGTGCTTGGAATTTGCGAAAGCAGATGGAATGGAAGTGGACTCTCCAAACTGTCAACTGGAGAATCAATAATCTACCCCGGTCAGCCAAACGACAACCACGAGCAGACTGAGTTTTGGAGTGGCCATCATGATGTTCCCTCCCAAGAGCATCGAAGGCTCTCATGCAGTGGAGACCAATGTCCTCCAGGATCATAACAGCAAGTTTCAACTCAAAAGGAAGGAAGGTCACAATCATACAATGCTATGCACCTGCAAATAATGCAGATCAAGAGAAGAAGCAGGAATTCTACAGACAACTGCAATCAGTACTAGACAAGACCGCATTCCAGTTGATGACATCAAAATTCTAATGGGTGGGGTGGCGGTAGATTGGCATGCACAGTACATATCCAAACCATCTCATTCGACTAAGGTTCACAATCTTGTCAGTCGATTTGCTTATCCTGATTAGTACCTTTCGCGCAACCCCGATCGACTAGTCAGCTGGCGTCAAAGATGACGCCGAGCATTCTCTATCCAAGAGCAATGTTGTTGGATTAAATCGCCCACAATATTCTTTGCTTTCCGACAACACTTAGAATCTGCACTGTTTAATCGACCAGGAGACAAAATCTAAATGTTATCTGAGCTTTTATTTCATCTTACCAGTCAGGTAGTAGCGACGGTTCTGGAAACCTTACGATGACGGAAAATGAGTCATTAGGAATCCTGTTCTCTGAGAGATATATGTTGCTGTTCACATCCCAATTTATTTAGATCTTGAATGCTTGTTTCGTCTGTTTTCAGAGCAAAGCACTTTGATGGTGCCAGTAAATTGATTCAATTCAGAGTAGCTATATGACGACGCCACATATCAAGTGATTAACAATGGAAAGCTCAGTGACGCCTTTGAAGTGAAGACAGGAGTAAGACAAGGTTGCCGCCTACCATTACCGATCATCTTCCCGATCGTGGTCGACTGGATCATGCAACCGATAACTGTGATAAGCAAGAAGATGGGCATACGCAGTTTGACCGATGAAAAGAGCCTAGAAGATTTGGATTTCACTGATACTGATTTATGTCTAGTGTCGCACAAACTTAAAGATCTACAGGCAAAAACCAACAAGTTGACGGAAGAGGTAAGGCAGCGAAGACGGGACTTCAAGTGAACGTGGAGAAGACAGAGGTGATGAAGATACCCAACCAACACCACCAACAACAAGAAGCACCAATTACTAATCACCGTGAACGGGAGAAATCTCAAGGACATCAGGACATCATTTACGTCGAGGTCGCAGATACGCCTTGCTGATGAGTGCCAAAAAGCACGAAACCTAGGTCCAGGGCTACCTGCAGATTGCCTCCAATCAACTAACAGGAAGTAGTCCTTTCGCCCACCTTCCTAGGTAGCATAGTTTCAACTTCAAGTGGCACAGATGAGGACGTCAAAGCCGGGATTGAAAAAACAGGCTTCCATTAATCTGTGGAGATCTACTGCACTGCATTGTACTCAGCATGTGGAATAAGATCCGTATTTTCAAGACCTATGACAGTCAAGTCAGTGCTTCTATGTGATGGTTGAGAGACTTGGCGAGTTACGAAAAGCATTTCCAACAAGCTATAAACATTCATCAACAGCTGCCGCCTACACTCACTCGATACTCAAGATGGAGATCAGATGGACAGAAAGAATAAGTAGGGGGGAACTGTGGCTGGCGGCGAACCAACGAAGCAAGAACCCATTGCCCAACAAATATGCGGAAGAAGGTGGAGGTGGATTGGGCATACATCGAGAAGACTTGCCAGGGACATCACACGTCACACCAGACCAGGTCCTCGAGTGGAATCCAAAGAGGGAACGACGAGTTGGGTGTCGGAGGTTGACATGAAGGAGATCATGTGAGGAAAAAATGAAGGCTTCTGGGGAGTCATGGAGCCAGGTTGAAAAGACTAGATAGAAGGGAGTGAAACTGAGATGTGCTAGTGAAGCCCTGTGTTCCATTAGGAACCCAAGTGAAAAACAATGTAATAATAATAAAATATTTAGGATGATTTATCTTTCTTCATCGTATTAAGCTGCTCAGCGTTATCTATCAGCTTCCACAAGATGAACAAGTGATGAAATACTTCATTGGTATATGGTGGACAGCAGGAAAGGAAGTGGTTGAGTGTGTTGAACACTTCACTTACACTAGAAGTCACATAGATGTAAGTGAATCAGTTACCAACCAACTTACACCATCTAAAACAGTGTCGTGTTTATCTGACTGCCTACAGTGGAAGAGAAGTGAAGCACAGTTTTCTGCTCTGAGTCACAGCATACTGCATATTTCGGAGACATTACGTTAGTATTGTATAAGTTAGTTGCACAGCAATAGGTAAAACTTAGTAACAAAGTTTCCGAATCAACCTCTGCGTAAGGTCAATTGTCATTTCAAATTTGTAACCAGTTCAGTGATCCTAACTTTTACTTTCTGTTCCACAGTACATGGGTTAAAAAATCACGAGTAGCATTGGCGATGCTCTCACTTATATGGTTGAACTGTCAGCTATCTTAGCTAAGTCAGCCGCGAGAGGTTCGACTCAATGAAACTGCTTGATAGCAACTTAATTCAGACTTTCTTTCAACTTCTTTCATTTAAAGCTTTAATGATTGTTTTGAATACTTTCTGAACTGATGAGATATTTAATCACAAGAGAATAAAGTAGGTGACCGTTTACCGTCACCGTCTAAAATCTTCTAGCTTATTTGTGAACAATACTCATCTCTCTCAATTTTTACAAAACATTAATAAAAAGGGTTACCTGATAAGGACAATACAATTCACAATACACATGAATATATGGCCATCTTATCTGAAGAAAAATTTCGCTACTATCCTTGACGATGTGTAGGTTAAAGTAGTAAAGAAATCTGTATTTCTTAGGTTAAACATAGAAAGCCAGGAAACACATGAGTTGGTTATGAGAAACCAACTGTCTAGTTTACTATCAAACAAATGAACCTATTGAACAACTGAACAAGAATGTAACAACGAAGGAAAGCTTCTTTTAGACAACTTCATGTAGCACTAAAGCTGTGTTCAATCAATCGTATTTATAGGCATTGAAGCAAATAACATTAACGGTAAACAGCGTCAAGTTATTAAGCGTATTTTGGAACAATGCTCAGTTTGGTTACTCATAGAAAACGATAGATATCTGACCTCCCCTAGTAATTCCTACAGAATAACTTAACAATTGCCTCTCCACAATTCCAAACGCCTTACAACTGCGTCATCTGTATACTGCTGAGACACGAACAGTTCACGATCTTAGTCATCAAAAAAGTAAATTTTCTTCGCTATGACACCTTTGGTATACTACTTAAAATAGATATATTTCAGTATAAGCACTTGCAGATTAAATCATTTAGAAATCTTATGGAAACTGTACAATTATCAGTTTATTTACATTGGAAACAAACTATATGCAGTGTAACCACATCCTTCATTCCACCAGCACCTAATTGATCAGTTTCGAAATAACGTCTCTAAATCCGCAGTTAATGTCTTGGTAGTACTGCTTGCGTTTGGTGGAATCAGCGTGTCAGCAATGCTGAGGTCAGGTGAAGAGTACTAGATAAAACTGGCTGGTAAGTCGACTGACAAAGTTGTGAACCTTAGTCGACTGAGATAGGTTGGATATGTACTGCTCATACAGATTCACCACCGCCTACCTCG